CCCCAAAACCCCAAAACCCCAAAACCCCTAGAAAAGAAATTAGGTTACAAATTGAAGCATTAGAAATAAATTAGGATAATCATTTTAGTTTTGCGATGTTTTTGAGTTGAGGATTTGATAAGACTTTGCTCCAAAAGCTAGCTGTTTGATGGGCATTATTAATTTCCATGATGTTGAATTATTGCATTATTCTTTAGTAAACCTTAATCTTTTCTTACTTGAACTTGGGGATTATGATTTCTCCAAGATGAATGCTAATAACTTCCAAAAGACTTTGTAAGTTATCAATCTCTCTTTCAGACTAAACATATTAATTAAAAGACAATACTTACATTTTCAATAGTACTTAGCATGCCATTAGTGTCTTTATCGCTCTTTAGCAAAGTTCTAATTGTCTTCTTGCCTTAATTGACATTTTCTAGATCTGCTTAAGTATTTTTCTTCTTACTCTCCATCTTTTTTATCTGGCTCTCTACCTACTCTCTAGTTGTAAGTGCTACTTACAAAGCTTGCAAATCATATATTTCTCCTTTACACCAATGATACATATCCTCATATGGATTCTTTAGGTTATCAATCATATGACTCATTTAGTCTTTAATAATTTCTTTGCTTTCAGGCTCTGTAATTACTAATTTTGATGCATTTCTGTCCAAGTAACTCATCATATTTAGCTCTTCATATTTATCAAGGACACCATAAAGAATTTTGTAATTTCCAATTTGACTCTCCTTGATCACTTTGAAGTTATTAATAGTCTTTTTCATCGCTTTCAGCTACGGCAAGACTTTCTTGATAAACAATGTGCAGTCTAAAGTTGCATTGTTGAATTTTTCTCTTTCAACTGCATCAAACATTCTCTCATTGATATCGCCGGCTTTTCTGATTCTGTCCAGTAAAGATCCACTAGACATCTTTGGTAATCTGGCTAGTAATTTGTCGACTTCGCCTGCTGGTCTCGAAAAGATTTAGAATTCATCTGAATGAATGATATAATCATATTTTGATAGCTTTCTCAAGAATCTTTCAAGATAGTATCTTCTCTCTTTGATAAAGGAGATCTCTTTGTTTCCCTATTAAAGATTAATGTTTTAATTTTCATACGATAGCTTTTTTAGGTGGAATTTTAGGTATAAAGCAAGCAGGGAATCTTATGATTAAAGCTTCATACAAAGCAAAGAAATGTGAAAATCTTCTTTAGCCTTCCCATTTACCCGATCTGTCAACACCTTTGACATAATATGCTATACTGTCTCCAACTAACTTTGGCTAAGATACGGAGAAATCATAATTTTCATCTTCGAAAGCACCAGAATCAATATCTTTTTCCACCGTAGTTGATATCTCTTTGAAAGCTGATAACTCATCAGCATCATCATTTCTAATTGATACTCTTTTCATTTCCTCCCTGTCTGATGCCTTAGAGGTAAAATCAATTTTAGTTGATTCTTTTGGAGATGAAATTTATATCTGTTCTTTCTTTGGCTATTCTTGTTGATAAGTCTTTTTGACTGGAGCAGAAGATTCCTCTTGCTCATAATCAACAGTCTTTCTCCATTTTGACTTATCTTCATCTTCTGATTACTTAGGAGGTTAATTATAAGGATTCTTAACTTCTTCTTTAGTTGTTTAAGCTTGATATTCTAAAAATTTTATGATTTTAAGATTAATTACCGTTTCCCTCTTCATCAGAGTCATCAAATAGCTTTCTCTTACGTTCCATTATATTTATTTATTATTTATCCTAATAAGTCTTTATTCATTGTTATGGGGTTTTGGGGTTTTGGGGTTTTGGGG